TCAAAAAATAAATAAATAAATAAAAATATACAGTAATAACCAATAATTTAATGATTTTAATCTAATAAATCTTTCATCTACAAAACAGTTCAAGAATAGGCAAAATTTATTTTTTAAAATACATTCCCTATTTCAAAAAACTATGAGGTGATCTTGATAAAAACCAAGCACCAAAGATAGAACAGAAAGAGAAGCGTGTGGGCCGGGGATTTAGCTCAGTGATTTTGCCGCCTGCCTTGCAAGTGCAAGGACCTGAGTTCAATCCTCGGTACAAAAAAAAAAAAAAGAAAAAAAAAGAGAAAGAGAAGTGTGAGACACTGGTAACATCATAATTTGCCTGTCTTGAGACTTTTACATAAAATACTTTTAACTTCCATGTTATTTAAAACACTGTTTGGGAGATCTCTTACTTGTACGTAATATAATACCTAACTAAAGAATAGATAGCTCTGAAATTTCTGCGAGATTGTAATTTGAGTCTTAACTTGTACCATACCACTTTTGCACATAGAAGGTGATCAGTTTTCTGGATTTAAAAGAAGAGTTTTTTCCTACTCTTCTAGTTCAATAGAAATAAACAAGTCTATTCTCAGCAAACATTTTTTATGAGCTAAGAGATAACTCATCAGAAATTAAGGGAGGAACATAAATACCTGGAACAAGATTATCAGAGTTCAGTGAATTGGCAGAGTCAAAATCCCCTTCAGTTACAAAAGCTAACTTCTCTAGATCAGCAAGCTGCCTTTGAATTGAGATGTGTCTCTCTGCAAGAAAATTTTAAGAGTTAGAAAATCCTGTTTTAACAATTTAATTTCCATTTTTTTTTTTTTTGGTACCGGGGATTGAACTCGTGGGACCTTGCGGTTGTGAGGCAGGCACCAGAATCACTGAGCTAAATCCCCAGCCCTTAATTTCCATTTTTATTTGATCATGTTACATGCAAGTTCACATTTTTATTTCCTGTGGTATAGTGTCTAGTACTCTAGATGGGGAAGTGTGACAGTTTAGTTTACAAAATCACCAAAGTACTTCACACAGTAACAAAGTTGGAAAAAAATTCCAATGTGTAACTTCACAGCTTTCACATTTTATCTAATTAGTTAATATAGTTCTACAAGTTTCTGCCCTTTAAAAAATACTGAAAAAATATAAGCCATGTTTTTTGTCTTCAAAGAACTTTCAATTATGTTGGGGAACTTAATGTTAATTTGTAACTATACTACAAGGTAGGATGAATATCAGAGGTAAAGGTAATATGATTACAGCCATATAGAAGAATGAGTAATTAATTCTAACAAATGACTAAGAACATCTTACTGAAGAAGTGGCATGAACTTAAGGTATGAACAGAATTTCAATTAATTGAAGATTTGGTGACTAGCCTTATAAATTGAAAAAAACCTCGAGGAAAACCATGTGGGAACAAACATATAGCCACTCCTATCTAACTCTTGGCTGGAATGTAGTATGTTTGGGGGGACAGAATATATAGAAAAATATGCAGCCAAAAGTGTATTATATAGATCATGAGAGGTATGAAATTTATGCAACTTAATATGGATTTTATTCTTCAGGCAATGATAAGTTGTTTCAGGTTTCTGGGTCTTTCTAAAATACGTTTGACATATTATTGGTACACTGGGATGGATCACCCAGGGCTGTTAAACCCACTACTGATGAATATAAATGGATAAAAATATGAAAGTGAGGTATGATGGGATGTAGGTATTTATAAGAGTGGCTGAATAAAAAGAATTAAGAAGGCAGATGCAGAAAGGGTAAATGGTAAAGAGAATAAAGGTAACACAAAAGCCACAGCAAAAGTCTGCAAAAGAGAAATATTCAATACTATATAGTACAGGTGTAAGATCAAAATATTATTGGTTAGGGCCGGGGATTTAGCTTAGTGGTTCTGTCGCCTGCTTCACAAGCACAAGGTCCTGAGTTTGATCCCCGGTACCAAAAAAAAAGATTATTGGATAAAGTATATAGGAAGTCTCTGGTGATCTTCAAAAATGGTGGTGCAGTGAGGTTTTTCGGAGTACAATGAAAGAAGAGGAGAGAAAATACTGAAAATCAATGTAATTATTTTTTCAAGAATTTTGACATTGCCACCTGTCTTCCTCTGTTGAGCTTCACTCATTTGTATAATTTGTGTACTTTTTCCTTAAAAATAGCAGTAAGAAGGCTACGCCTCATTCCTTTTAATGATGGTTAAGTGCCTAGTGCACATAGCAGGCACTGGAGTGAGCTAAAATTACAAAAAAACTCATCTGACTTTTGGCTGTAGTAGCACACTATATTTATAATCTTGGAATTTAATTCAGCACTATAATACATTCCCGCTCAAATTTTTAAAAGGTGATTTTCTACTTTATTTTTAAATGAGCACAAACAAACAACTATAAATACTGGCTAATTTCTTAGTGTTTACTGTTCTAATAACTTATAATGAGATACAATTTCTATAACTAGGCAGAATTTTTCCGTTTGATCAAAAACTTTTAGTTAGGTGTGGTGGCACATGCCTGTCATCCTAACACTTGAGAGGCTGAGGGAGAAAGATGGTGAGTTCAAGGCCATACTGAACTATACAGAGAGACCTTGTCTCATAACAAAAGAGAACAAAAAAATTTTTGGCTGCTAGGTTTGACAGTAATAGTCAAGAAAGCAATCCATACAGCCAGGTGTGGTGGTGTGTCCATAATACAAGGACTCTGAGGCTGAGGCAGGAGGTTCGAAAGCTCTAGCCCAGCCTAGGCAAATTAGTGACTTGGTGAGATCTGGTCTCAGAATAAAAAATAAAAAAGGGATGGAGATGTAGCTCAGTGCAAAGACTCTAGGTTCACTCTCCAATACAAAAAAAAAAAAAAAAAGCCATGTGTACAAACCAACCTGTTACATTTGTCTTAGGTTTCATAGTTCAAAGACCTATATATGTGAAAACAAAATGCATAGCACTATGTAAAGATATGCTTACAGAAATTATTCTAACTACTAAGTACTACAAAATAAGAGAAAGGAGCCAATAAATTAGAAAACTGAAAATCTTGTGGTTCACTACTGAAGAAAACTGTCAAAGATCTGTCTAAAAATTCATAATATGCCTATAAACATCTTTGAAATGACTTTTTTTTTTTGGAACTGAAGATCGAACTCAGGACCTTGCACTTGAGAGGCAGGAGCAGTGCCACTGAGCTAAATCCTTGGCCTTCAACTTGCATTTTGTAACAGAATAATACAGAAGTTAATAAGCAAATCTCTTATTAAATTAGCTGAGTCCAAGAGGCTAGGAGGCTCTTTTGTAACTGTTACTTTCTCCTCAATTTTCAATTCTATTTCAGCTATGCCATTTTTATTGCTTAGTTATGACTGACTTCAGGGGACTAACTAGGCCATCTAAAAATAATTCTAAAAATGTGATTAATATTTATTATAGTTCAAATGTATTTCAGATTCTTAATCATTACATATTTATCTTAGTAAAACATCTTCAGGTTTCTCAAACAGTATGGATTCTTCAAATTGCATACTTCTAAATTTTGAAAAATATAAGTAAACCTTTCCAAACTGTTTACCTTATTTTTAATGGTGGGGAGGTGGAGAGAGTACCTGCCTAAAGCATTATCTAATGTTGCTGAACCATTTCTCATTAATTTAAAGATACAATTTTGAGCTGAATTAGGAGGCCACTTAATCAGAAGAGTGTAACATCCTCTACTCATCTACCCTAGTTGCAGTTGAAGAAATAATTGGCCTTATTTTGCACCTGCAAGGTCTTGATTTTATATGATGAGGAGGGGCCTACCTGATGCATGCTGATTTTATCTTTCCTGTGATCAGCCTTACTCTCTTCAGCAGTTATATGTTGTTTTAAAGCTGCAAATAATTAGGATTATCCGAGTGTTTTATAAACCTCAAACTTAAAAATGGCCTAGAAATAGTAAAGCTGATGAATTATTTTATTTCAAGTGGTAATTTAGAAAGGGTACAAAGGTCAGTCTATGGACCACACAATAATTTGTTGAAAGAACTTGTCTTTCTCAGATCTAACATTTTAAAATATTCAGATGATCCTTAAGTGTTAATTGCCAATCTTTTAAATTTCTGTATAGCCCAATAAACCACCACTTAGGAAACATGCAAACACATTCGAAACACATAATATGGGCTATTAATTTTCAACAGTCGACTTTTGATGGAGTATAAAACTCAACTGGTATTTATGTGTGAGGGAAGAAATCCGTAATTTAGTATGCTCTTTCCCAAACAACTCATCAGCTTCAAATTCTTTTTGGAAGCAAGTGTCTAAAGAAAATGGAATAATGAGACAAGCCCATCTCTTCTTTCTGTGTGTGAAAGCAGTGAAACTAGTTGACAGTAATGGTTTCTAAATCTTGGCAGCTAGGATCTTAAGAGGTTGCCTCGGTTGATTAAGTCTTGTTTGGAAAGAGTTAAGCAAAGCAGACTAGACTGAGAGGGAAACTACCACGTTATGTGTAACTATAGCCTGTATTTGTGTGGAGAACACTTTGAAATAAGATTGAATTGTATAACCCTAAGTGTGCTGTAACCCTAAAGTGTGCTGTGACCTTAACAGTGCTGTAACCTAAGTGTGATGTAACCCCAAGTGGTATAGAACTGATAAGGGTGTAGCCCGAACTGGACGGGGCGTGCCCCGAACAGGACAGGGCATACCCCGAACTGGGCAGAGTGTGCCCCCAAGCTGGACAGTGTGATAAGTCTGAACCAAAACCACAAACGCCCAGTTAGAATAGTATAAAAGGAGCTGAAGACTCCAAGCAAGTCGTCGATCCGAGAACCGACAGAGACATCTGCACACCTGATCCCGCTGGAAGGAGCATCGGGGCCGACCAGACGAGACCAGAGGACGAGGCAAGCGGAGGCGGATAGCCTAGCGCCTACTCGACGCCCTTCGTCTACGGATCGGACCCTCTGACCCTACGGGAGGAAACGTCGCGCTCCCATAAGGACTTGCGCAGTACAGGCACAGGGACGTGGTAATTGGCAGACTTAATATTGTGTGGTAATTGCATATTGTGTGGTAATTGTATTGAAATGAATTATGATAATATAAGTGTGTGAACTGCCATCCGAGTCCGAGTCCTCTTTACCTACGGTACCTGCTCGCGACAATTTGTACCATAAAAACACCACGAAAAAACCCTTAATCTGATCACTGATTTCTATCTTGCCGCATCTCTGGCCTCCCCCTTTCTTTTCATTCACTGGGTTGTCCTCGGGGTTTATGGAAGTGCCTTCTTCCATTCTGTAGCCCAGTTTTACCCTCACCCACTACACCGCCCCCACCCCCGTTTTCCTAAGCTTGCCTTTCCCCATAAAAACCATCCCAGAGGGGAAGGACTTTCCCTGCTCCCCAGCAAGGCGCACTTTCTCGCTTCTCTGCAGCAGAGATCTGGGCCTCCTGCACTTACTGCTTTCAGCCTCCTCAGGGGCAGAGGCTAGGGACGGGGACAGGGCCAGAGCCTGGGCAAGGGCTGGGGCTGAAGCCGAGGTCGGAGTCGGAGTCGAATCTGGGGCCGGAGCTGGGACCCGAGCCGAGTCCGGGGCCGGGGTCAGGAACTGGGCCACCTCCTCCTTCTCCAGGGGTAGGAGCTCCTCCTCCGCCATGTTCTCCATAGTTACCGCCTCCGCGCCAGGCCCTCCAGGTCCCCGGGAGGGGTCTCCCGGCGGGGTGAGCGGGCTGACGTGAATGCCCACAGGGCTGGATCCAAGGAGTGGGGAAGCGAATGGGGAGGGCAGGATGCGTTCGACAGACAAAAGACGGAGAATCAGGGATCAAATCCTCTCACGAGAAAAATAGAACCCCAGAGGTAGCGATTCGAGTACCCATCGACTTCCCTTCCCCCAGGCGTTACGACGCCACCACAGACTGCGCAGACGTCAGGTAGGGACGGCGTCCAATGGGGTGAGAGAGTTTCGACTCCACAACGTCTCCGTTCCACAGCTCACTACCGAACTCAACTAAGACTACAACTCCCAGGGTGCACAGCGCCGCGAGGGCAAGGCAAGCGCCAAATTCGCGGAGGAAGCATCTGAAGGTCTAGAGAAGCGCAGTGGCTCGTTAGCGTGGTCGTCTGGAGCCGAACTACGTTTCCCAGCGGGCAGCGCGCGCGGAGGGGGGTCTTTCCTTACTGTAGAAGCAGTACGGCAGCTGTCGCTGCTAAGGTAAGGAACAGGAGGGTCTGTCGACTTTTCTCTGGACACGGTCCCCCCTGTCCCGGTCCCGAGTGCCGTTGCGGGTGCGGGGCCGTACGAGGGGGACTCAAGAGTCACTCGAGCCTGGGCGGGGCGACTCTGTGAGCGGACCTGGGGTCGGGCTAGCTGAGTGGAGGTATGGTTTTGGCCTGGCGCTGTGGAGGTCGGGGGTTCTGAAGGGTGTCTGCGGAAGCGCTGGACCCCGGCAGTTCAGGAGCCCTGGACCAGATTGCTTGTCAGTCTGACTGGGAGTTTCTGTCCGCTCATAATTTCTTTTGTTTTTATTTTTGCTTTAGCCTTCGTATTAACAGTATCAGCAGGACTGCGATGCAAGGGTTCCTTGCGTTGGGGTTGGTTTAGCCTTTTTTTTTTTTGGTACTGGGAATCGAACTGGGGACCTTGCGCTTGCGAGGCAGGCGGCGGTTTAGCCTTGTTTTTAGGCTCACTTCTCCCCACTCCTCGCTACTGGGGGTGGAACCCAGCGCCTTCACACTGAACTATACTCCTAGCCCTTTTTATTTTGAGACAGAGTCGAAATGGCCAAATGGCCCTTGCTGAGCTCGAACTCACGATCCTCTTGCCTCATCCTCCCAGAGTGCACCACCTGGCGCTGTTTTTAGGCTTTTAATAAACAGATCTCTGAGTGTGTTGAACTTCGGGCCCATGGTTGGTATGTTTCCCCAAGGCATCTGCTCCGTGAATTCCCCCTCCCACACACTTTTCTCACCTGTACTGTCTTGCTGTACTTACAAGTTTCACCGCCCCCCCCCCCCAAACAAAACAACCGAGCGTACAGGGGAAAAGTTTTTGAGTTTTCTGCTTGCCCTGCCTGTGACTGGTCTAAACGTTATAGGCAGCAGGAAGAAGAAGGGAAGTCTACTTTAGTATCAGGTACAAGGACCACACTTGTAGTTCAGTTTTCTTAGCTAATAAAGCTGATGAGTGCCTTTCTTGCTACGCTGTTTATTTCTTATGAGTTTCAGAAGGAAGAGAGAGAGCATGAGTGGCCTCTTTCCCCTCTCATTAAGTATATCCAGAGGGCTTAAAAGAAAAGCTTTTTCTACTTTAATGGAAACATAATCTCTATCAAGATTCTTCAGATTATAATTCTAAAGCCATTTTAATCCACTCCCTTAAACTAGAATTCCTGGATATATAGTTGATTCACTGCTAAACAGTCAAAAATGGGTGATAAGAATGGTTAACATATAAAAATGCTGACTGTATCAGTGCACTATCCAAAAATTATTGATTTTTAAAAATTTCTAAGCAAGCGCTTTTTTTTTTCTTATTTTAATGTAGAGGACTACATAAGAGTGAGGTACCAAGCAGCAGTAATTTTCAGGAGCTAGCTAGGAGACTTCCCACATAGGAAGTACTTCCCTCCTTTAGTTTTTTTAATGTGCATAAAATCAATATGAGTTTCACACTAATACGAATATAAAATGTCATAGTAAACATTTAGATGGGGGTCAGGGATGTAGCTCAGTGGTTCCGTGCCTGCCTGGCAAGCGCAAGTTCCTGAGTTTGATCCCTGGTACCACAAAAGAAAAAAAAAGTTTGGATGTTTTCCCTTGGAAAGTTCACTATCTTCAGTGTTCTTTTTCAGTATATCTTGGGTAAGAGGTTTAAATTTTTGGATGTTTTCCCTTAGAAAGTTCACTGTCTTCAGTGTTCTTTTTCAATATGTCTTGGGTAAGAGGTTTAAATTAGTGTTAGGGTATCAAAAAAAAAAACCAGATGGGTTAGTAACAAATATAAAACATAACATTATGACCAGTTAGGTAGCATCATGATCTCTAAGGAATGTCTTTCACGGAAGTTCTTTTTTTTTTTCTTCTTAAAGAGATTGGTGGTAATTTTTCTATAGAACTTTTGGGCTCAAGCCATCCTCCTGCCTCAGCCTCTAAGTAGTTGGGACTATGGGCACATACACCACCTTGCCAGACTGGTTATTTTTCTTATTGTCCCCTCTATTTCCCCAGTGGAGTAGAATCTTTGAGACAAGAAAGAGAAAAGAAGCTTACTGCTGAATTTGGAAGGTCAACTGTGAATTCAACTATTACCATAAACTACCTTATAAAGCAAAATTTCTGGTTTAGAATCTGTTCTTGAAAGTCTATGTTGAATATTCATTTATTTTTCTCCAAGATTTTTCTGTAAGCTACCAACATTTTCTTCTTTTTATATTCATCAAAGCATTCTAAAAGTTTAGCTTAATCATTCTTGTAAAAATTTAACTTAATTGTATTTTATTTTGAGACAAGGTCTCACCATGTAGTTCAGGGTTGCCTTGAACTCACTGTGTAGCCCAGGCTGACCTTAAATTCCTAGCAATCCTTCTGCCTCAGGCTCCTGAGTGCTGGGATTACAGGCATGCACCACCACACCTGTTTGGGATTCTTTTTTAGAACTTCACTTACTCTGATCATAATTGACCAGGAATAATTGGAAGTGCTTGGTTTCTAGCCTTTGTTATGTTTATATTTTTAGTATGTGTAGCTACCAGCTGTTTTCTCTTCCTTGGGCTTTAGTTCTATTATATTTAGTTCTATTATTTTAGTTTTATTGCGTCCGAACCCAACCTGGTGATAATTCTTTTTCTAGCCATGCTATCCCAGCACATGGTGCTGGTTTATGCTGTGGGTGCACACTAATTTGAGACTGTTTCTAACCATACTGTGTGACTATGGTTGTCTTAGACATACACACACACACACACACACACACACACAATATTGTTTTGTGAGGAGAGTCATCAGTTAATTGTACTAATTTGGTCTATAGGAGGGCTGGAAAGGTGAAAATTGGATGAGAAGTAGAGAAACTGCAATAGGCAAGGATTGGAAGTGGCTAAGAATGAAGCAGTGCATATTCTGAGGAAGAATTCACTCATTCAGCAGATGAACATCTCTTAAGTTTTTAATACAGCATAGTTTTAGAGACGTTCTGGGTCTAGTAGGAAAGCTCACATAAGTATTTAGACCCTGCTAGGTGCCACCCTGTACAAAGTATTTTTTTACATCCATTGTTTCGACTCCTTCAAAAACCCTCTAGAATGAATTTTCTCTGCTTATAATGAAACTAGGGCTCAAAAAATGTATTTCTTGGATTGTGTTTCCATTGTGTGTCATATGACTGTATCAAAATTTAAATTAGGGAGTTTGGCTTATATGGAGTCTGTTAACTAACTGGAATTTTTTTTTCCAGATCATTATTTGCACAATGTTGATTTGGGGGATTTTTCTGAAACAAATTACATCCTCTGGTGTCTTATTGGTGCTTGAGATGCTTTTTTAAGTTATACAGAAAAATGTTTAAGTGCTTTTCAGTTTTGTTTTGGTTGAGTTCTACTGTATTTGAATATTATTGTAGTTTTTTTCCCCCTTGCATTGTTCTTCTTTGAGTGGTTTTAATTTTTTATATGTGTGTGTGTTTGATAATAAAGTTATTTAATAAAAATAAAAATGTACACAGTTTGCCTGAAGTCTCACAGAAGTGAGAAGTGTACTGGGAAAAAATGGAAATTTATGATTAATTGGTTTTGAGGTGTAGATGGGGTAAAATATAGCAGTCCTGTAAGCAGTTAAAAAAAATGAGCTAATGCTTAAGAGAGAAGTCAGGACTCAAGACATAGTTTTGAGACTAATTCCTAAGGGTTGGTAAAGCTGAGGGAGAGGAACAGATCCTTGTAAAGAAGAGTGTAAGGGAAGAAAAGTGGAATGAGAGAATCTTGTATTGAGAATGGGTAGAAAATGGAAATCGTTTTGTAGAATTCCAGCCTTTATATACCTTTATTTTATTTTATTTTTTTCGGTACTGGGGATCAAACTCAGGACCTTGCACTTGTGAGGCAGGTGTGGTGCCACTGAGCTAAATCCCTGGCCCTTTATATACCTTTATGTACCTGAAAGAATAATAATTTCTAGTATATATCATGTATTTTTAATGTTTATTTTAGCTTTTTAAGATGTCCCACAAAGAATCTTGTGGAAAAGAAAAGTCTCAGAGAAATGGCACCATCTCATCATCCATCTATGATGAAGTAAGAATTTTGATTTACTGTGTTTTTATAATTGTTTTTATAATTCTGTGTAATGAAAAAAATACACCTTACTTTTACAATGAAATATGAAAACATGTTGGTTCTACCTGCCTGACTCAGAAGTAATTTCCTTTTTCCATTCTTTTTTCTTACTTTGCTAATAATTTACTAATGTAAATTACTTTTTCCTCAGAAGCCTATGAGATGGTTATTGTTATACCCATTAAACAGTTTAAAAATTAAAGCTTAGAAAGTAGTAATTTATTTTTTTATAGCAAAATATTTATTGTTATATTTTAGGCATACACAATGATAACACTCAGAATTTGCACCTGTACATGATACATCTTGTCTCTTTTTTCCCATCCTCCCAACCCCCTTCCCCTCCCTATGTACAAAAGCTTTATTTCTGTTTTTTACTTCTGTTTTCATTTTTTTCTTGTCCCTTCCTTTTTTCCTTTCTCCTTCCCCTTCCCCTGTTCCCCTTGCCATTTGAACATTTTCTTCCCATTTTCCGATATCTATTATACATTTCAGTCTTTATTTCTACAGAAAGTAATAATTTAGACAAAAGTAGTTTTCCTAAGTCCCCTAAATC